TACCGCAGTCTGTTTACTCCTGCAAATTTCTTGCCGGCATAGAGCTCTCTCCGTACTAGGATTGAATAACAGCATATTATCTCATCGTCCAAATGGACGCGGAAGATCAGCTGTCAGACGATGATGTAACAATGGACCAAGTTTGTCCTAACGAGTTCTAGCAGGAAGGGGAAGCAAATATCGTAATACCAAAATACACTACGTAAGGTCACTTTTAAAATAAGATTTTTCGAGATATCGCTATTGACATGTAGCAATTAAAACCTATTAGAAATCATTCTAATTACTATCTAGCCATGTAATTTTAATTAATTTTGCAATTGAAAAATTAAATAATCTTTTAATAAAAGCATCGACGTAGTGTAAAATACTGTGTTTTATCAAAATAAGACTGCGAAAATAGAAAAATGTTGCCGTGTGCTTCTTTATACATTTGAAATGCCCAGTGAAACTAATAAAATTATAAATTGAAAACACATGATACCACAATAATAATCTGCAGAAATAAAGGAATGTTAAAATCCAACAAACTTCGGGGCATTGAATATATAAGTGGGTCAACGACAGCTCTGTAGTGCTACTCATAGGAACATTGTCGAATTATTAAAATACTTAAATTTAAAAACTGAAAATTCATCATAATTTTAATAATTTTTAATGTAATAAAATAGATTTCAAATGTTTCCCCTTTGAAGGTTTTTCATCAAATATACAAAATGCTTAAGAAAATCTTCCAACGTTCTTATACGTGAAATTGTTTTTCTTAGTGAGCCCTCTGGCTAGTGAACAGAATTATAATGCAATTAAATTTGTATCTAAATGCGATTGACTTAAATATTAATTAATTTTTACACCTGTGCTTTGTAAGTAGAAATGCCTAAGAATTTTGTAGGAAATAATTGAATTAAGAAACAGATTTTAACGAAAAAGGTTTCTTTTATTTTAATTTATCTGAATTAAAACACGATTCTTATAACTAACATTTTACGATAAAATTCTATTGTGAATCTTATCACGAAATTTGATGGCCATTAGCTGCATGAAGTAAATAAGCGGATTATATTTCTAAACACTTCTTGACTACCATTTCAGCCCTTCACCAGATTTCCATTCTTCGTAAATTAGTAAAAGGTGTGGCTTCGGGCATCGTCAATGGAAGATACGTATTCCTGAAATGACACTTCTTATTCCCCAACATTCATTTTGAATTGAGTGGACCGGCTATTTTTTATAAAATAGATTGCCTGCTCAAGATACGTTCTTCGCATACTTAGAAATCTCCTGAAGGAAAGATCGGCTTACCTACTTTGCTGGGCGGTCATGGAAACACCGCATTATATTGCCCCAGAATCTTTAAGCTACTTCTAGATTGACGTAAGTATGAAAGACCTGCCACGTTTGTAAAAGATTTCATATTAAGTCTCCTACTCCTTCAGCAATAGTGAGGTTAGGTTCTTGTTTTGCAGAAACTTTGCAGTTCGTGTTAAGCTGCAACCATTTTCTATTAATTTCTTCTGCAGCTTTCTGGCCATTTCAAAAATTGAAATGGACGTCTTCCACAAAGATTGACGTTCAAAAAGCAACAAAACAAGATGTTCAATGTTAAGCGTCTCAGCTCCGGCAAATATCAACTGATATTCGCTATGCTGGAAGGTTAGCCATGTCCGTCAGAACGCGTCAGCAGCATCGCGTCAGTACCTGCACGTCCAACCAGTGAATTAGATTTAGATTTATTCAGTCAAAAAAACTGTAAAAACTATGTGACGTAGGAGAAGAAATACGATCTTCGCACGTTTTCTTGGGTTCCAGAATCCCTTCCCGTCATTTCAACTATAAATAGTTGAAAGATGAGTAAAAGTTTAACATTTTGTGTGTGTGTGTGTGTGTGTATGTGTGTGTGTGTGTGTGATTTGTTCCGAACGCAATTTCTGCTCCACTGAATGTACTTAAGTGTGTCTCATTTGGCCACGTCTGAACATCTTTAGGGAATGTTCTTACATCGGAGGGCAAGTATTTTCCAGAACAAGAGTTTCATACGTAACAGTCATACAATGAAATATATATCTGCTGCATAACCATTTCTACACAATTAGATACTATATTCAGCATCAAAAAGAAAAATAATTTTAGTTTTATAAATTGTATTAACTAATGTATTTGTTACTGTTTTGGCTCTATAATACAAAAGACTAAATAAGCCTGTAAGAAGTAGCGGACCTCAGCTTTTGGAACAATGACCCGTCTCTAGCTTTTTCGTCCCATTTCTCTAGAGCAAATGTTTGTTTGCTTCTGTATATAAATGTAGCTTCACTATATGTACGATTTCTTGAGCTCTTTCTTTAATGTATATATTGGAATAATTCCGTTTCTCGGCAGAAATATTCCTTCACCTAAATCACTAGGGATAATAGCCTCCATCTGTGGTTCATTTGACTCCGCAAATGGTTTGTATTATAAGGGAGCGAATCTTTTTTCATCTATTCTAAAAAAGGATGTTAAATTATAATAAAAACTAATGTTACATGTATCCGTACTTCAACTTAACGTGCACATGAATTAGAACATCTCCCAGAGCTCAAGAAACCAATCACATATTGCACTTCTCACCATAGTACAAGTTTGAAAGGAGTTTGACATTACATGAAATAATGTCGGGTACATCAATATTAGTCATAACATTTGTACAGGAACGATTTCAAAAGTGACCGCGTAACACTAAACGATTTATTAATGGAAAATCGCGAGGCGCACTCTGGTCACAAATACGAAACGAGTCCAAACATAAGTGCAAATGGCTATTTGCCACGTTTCCTATCACTTTAAATACTGGGAAATAATTGTAACCCCGGACAAGTAAGACCACATCTCTTAAGCAAGCTTCTCTTCTTTATGGATTCCAGTATTTCTTAAAAATTACTTTTGAAGTAAAAATATGACTTCTTGCTGAGGTAAAGTCTGTGTGGTATTGAGATATAAACTCCGTTTAAATAAAAGTGTAAGTTAATTTTGTGGAATGTAAGATTTTCTAAAGTACCCTTTAGAAGATTCCAAAATAAGAGAAATATAAATCGGAATTTTTAAATCTGATTATATGAAAAAATATTTTTACTTAGCATGTACACTTAGACATTTTATTTATTTATTGAACCTAACGACGAATTGGGTTAATGTAATTAAATTACGAAGCTACCTGAATGAGAGGAATCCATTAGCTAAGAAGATGCATGAAGATGAAGTGGGTTTAAAAGGTACTATACACCTGGTCAAACAATACTTATAAAAATGCAATACATATAAGCATATACAAAGGTATACTACATGGATTAAGTGTTAATTGACGGCCTGAATAGCCGTGGTCTCTAAGGCTGAAGGGCCTGCCTTGACTAGTCGCGAGATCGAATCCAGGCTCTGGCATGGATATTTTCATGTGATCATGTGAGTGTTCCACTATAGTCAACTCAAAGTTATAAAACCCATTAAATTACAGTGGCCACTCTACGACTATATTCGTTGAAAAGCGACATTGCACTACTTTTAAAATAGTAATTATCTACCATTTGTTATGGGAACTTCAAAAACAGACCTGGGGAAGTAGAAACTACGAGGTTTTTCGTATTTCAAACTCAAGAGTCTCACATACACAATTCCAATTACACATTATAAATATAATACATTTTTGAAGTTAATTATACTTTCTAGAAGATAATTTGAATTTAAAGTATATTGTTATTTTTTTTTTTTCGACGAAAATTTCGGAGCTCTATTTAAGTCCGGAACCGTAAGCAAGTTTCTTCAGTTTCCCCTCACCCTGTCTGGATGCCACTTAGTGTACCCAGCGTTGGGTTCAAGGTCTCACCCAAGGTCTACTAACACACACTGGTCTCGCCTCCTAAGTGCCCGTGTTATCCAATGCGCCGCCTTGCGCCTCTTGCGATCTACACGTCTAATGGATTACACACGTTTCTGATTAACTTTTTCGCAGTAGAAATTGCGCATTGCGTACAGAGCTCAAATCTGCGAAATCATTGTCATCGCCTTCCAAAGAACAAAGAGTGGGGCATAAGAATACAACGTGAATCGCTGAAGTGGACACGAAACCAACATTTACAAAAGAGGGGGAGGGCGACCTCCCTTTTAGGAATGAACGGTCCCTCATTGCCTACTCATTTCATAATAGTAATTACGTTATTGAAAATAATGTGTCATTTTAAGGGACAACTATGACATTGTAGTTCTGGTAACTAATGGACTTCAATTTTTGGAAATATCCTTTGGTTTAAAAAAATGTAAATTTCTCATTCCTTAAAGAGCAATAACTTAACATGTGCCGGCCTGGATAGCAGAGGTCGTTAAGGCTGAAGGGCTGTGGTTGCCTTGGCTTTAAGAGTCGCGACTTCGAATCCCGCTGCTAGTATGGACGTTTCTGCGTGTCCGTATGAGTGTTCCTCTACAGTTATCCCAAAGTCATAAAAAACTATGTTAACTTACAGTGGTCGCTATACGATCATAGCAGTCGAAAAGCGACCTTTTGAGTAAAAGAACTTTACACACTACTTTAAAATGCTTTAATGCAATAAATTTACTTTACTTCACTGTTGGTATTTCCACTTAACGCAACCAAATCAAGGAAATAAAATCCACTCTTAGCCAGCGTTCGTTAAGGATCTAACAGTCTGCTGTTCGTTTAGAACAATCTAAATTAAATATTTCTAGATAAAATCGCAGGAGTATATTCCTGCGATACACAGTAATTTCCTGTTTATGTTTTTATTGTAAGAAAATTTCATTGCAACGAACACGGCAGAGTTAAACCCCTAAACCTGGTTTACAAACTTTAACCGCGACTTATTTACTGTTTATCAGCCTAATGACATTACCAGCCATCACATTTCTTAATGAATTTTCTCGAGTTCACTAAATTTCCAGAAACTATTGTTGAACATACCCTTCACAATGGTCTCAAGTGCATTCGGGCGTAGGCCTCACCTGCTGGGCGCCTGTGTGCTGTGCCGTGGGACGCCGCGTGCCGTGCTGTGTCGTGCCGGGTCGCACTGTGCGCTGGGCTGCTGGGGGCCGGCGACTGGGCGAGCGGTGGCCGGCGAGGGATGCCTGCGGCGGCAAGTGAAAGTGCAGCGGAGAGAGTTGGTTGCTGATGACACGCAACGACCACCCCTCCCTCCCCTCCCTCGCCACAACCCTCTCTCTGGCCGTCTGCAGCCCAAACAATCGCGGATGTGGACTTTCGGTCCAGCCGCACGCTCACCTTTTCCAAGAGTGTAAGCTAGACGTCGGGACTAAACACGCAATCTGTATCATTGTTGTTTTTGTTGCGCTTTTTTCTCGTACTTATTCGAACACGTTTCCTTGTTTTATGTTATATCCCGACAAAAGGTCTTTCCGTACTTTCCGTAATTAACTATTTACCGTAATTTTAATTTTATAAATACGATCCTATGTATATTTATAAACAGTCAAATTGTGGGTAAAATGTCGTATTGGGAAAATAAGGCAATTACAAAAATTTTATCATAGTTACCTGATTTTTTTTCAATTTGATATGTTACCCACAATAATTTGATTAAATGTCAATAATAAGACGCAACATTAAAAATTAATGTAATTTTGAACGAATCCACTCGTTTTTCATTTCTAACACTTAAAATACGATATTCCCAGTTCTTCGACAAGATTCTAAATCTCATTATCTGCCTCCACCTCAAGCAATGGTGAATTTGGGCTGATTGTAGCTCGCTCCCAATTGACAATACTGCAAGCTAAAAATTCGTAAATCAAATATTTCTAAAAAAAATTATAGGTAAAAGTATTTTTCTGCTTTATTAATGATGACCTAAATCTCTTAATTCCTCTTTCCATCGTTTTTGTGTGACTACAGCATTTTCCACGACAAATTGGTTTATATACATGTTACCCATCGTTTTTTTTACACATATACGATATTTTCAATACTTGTAGGTCCTACATCTAATTATCTGTCACGACTACAAACAAAAAAGATGTGAACAATCGGTATTCACTATTATCAACCGCGCAAGTGAAAAATCAGGAGTAATGAAGACATCTATACTCCCACTGCAAAGTGCTTTTAGTTCATTCTAGTACAAAGAGTACATACATTGTACTAGCATTACTTCCTTATGAGATCCCAGGAATACATCATTAGCAATGCTCGTTGAAATTACTTTGGATAAATAATACAGGTTTACATTGTTTAAACTTGAAGGATTATTTGAGGTATATATTGAGGATTTTTAAAGGTCTTTATGCATTGTTGGGCGTACTCAAAGATGATAGTAACATAGAAGGTGACAGTAAATTTGACTGATAGACAGTAATGGACTGTAATTCAGTATTTTCTGGGCAATGACCGCCTTACCCTTCGGACGTGCTTTTTGTTCCGTTTAACCCTTTTGGTGTTTTGAAAGTCTAGAAGTTTTCTCTGTTTCCTTTTCAATCTTAACAAGAAATGTTGGGGAAGCATAATATTTCCAGTATGAGTGATGCAGAAATTTGCTTCGAACTCTGTAAATTAAGGAATTTTTGTTAAAGTGGAAAATACGACACCTTGACCTCAAATCTGCAATTACACCAGTCAAAATTAGTGGGTCCGTCATGATGGAGTTAAAGGTCAATTATACGTTTTTTACATATAATGTCCAAGTATTTCACGCTTCTCCTTTCAACATGCCTCTCTTGTCTTTGTATTGTTACTTTTCATACGTGCTCTCGCATGTTCAGTGCAAGTTCCTTGCATGTTTCCACTTATGTTTACCACATTATCTCCTGCATCTTCACGTGGCATAAATCCCTGCATGTAGCTCCACACGTTACTCACCGGCAAAGGTGTTTCATGGCATCAACAGATGTCACTGCAGTGCCTCTGACCGTATGGTTTTAGGGTCCTAGTCTCGACAGTGGCAGGCTTTTCGACACTAGCCAATCAGCTGGTTTCAGTTCAGCACCTGCCTGGATAAGGCGAATGCCGGAGAAAACAGTACGAACTTCGAGCGATCTTTCCTCCCTCTTCGTTTTTCTATACTCACCTATTACATGCACTCAAACATTTACATGCAAAATCACCACACATGTTCGGAGACCGTACGGGAGCTTAGACCATATCCTAGCAGTGGCGGTAGACGCTGGTGCGAGATATCTGAAGGGGAAAACCCCAAAAGCTGTCGTGGTGGTCAGCACCCGATCTCACCATCCAGCAGGGGCACCGTCACCTCTCGCGATAAAACACACGTGAGTAATGACACAAAAACACGAAATTATCAATTAAGTGCGTTGAAGAAAAATCTCTCTAAGATGACTAAGACTGAAGCTGGTATTATGTGAATGATAGAATGGTGGGATGAGAGACAACAGAAACTGAAGAACCCCAAGAAAAGCAATCGGGAAAGCACTTTACACACTACAAATTCCACATGTGTCGACCGGTATTTGAATGACGGCACGTGGTGGTAGAAGAAAAGCGGTCTGTCGCCACTGGACGAGGTAGCTGCATACTATTCTTTAATGCGACAATGCTTTAGCCTTACGGCCATACCTGAGATGGGGGAATGAGCTTGATGAACAGGTGATTCAGTAAGAAAATATGATAAAATGAAGATAGTGCAACGGTCGAATGAGAGACAAGTAGAACGGTGAGAAAACGCGCAGTAAACAGCTTTGTCCACCAAACATTCCATCTCGATCAGTCAACATGTGAATTTCGGTTCTAGAGATGGAAGGCGGGCGGACTGGCCGCAACAGCACGGCCTGCACTAACAGCTCTACTGTTCTTATTTTGACAGCCCGACACGAACCATGGCCGCCCACCAGCCCCTTGGCCATCGGATAAGGGGTTCGTGTGGTTAGCTCGAAGACTGCCTCCACCGTATATACTGGGCTTTCTCATGATCATACGCCAGTAGATACTGGCAAATTTGTAAAGAAAGCGCACAGTTAAAGTTTTGTTCGGCTGGGAATAGAACCCGGGGCTGCTTAACAGCCAGGCTGCTTAACTTAACAGCCAATATTTCTCTGAACTCGATGAGTACTGGGTCACCCCAAACGAAAAAAATATTTCGGTGCTAAATAAAGTTCAAGCAACATTAAGTGCTGCGATAAATCAGACAGCAGTCAGAAATACAAAATGATTTTCTTTAATTCTCGCTTAATTAGTTCGTGCCTTTTCGACCGAGTTCATTCTGACCGCACTCTAACGATCTGGTCTCGATTGATTGATCCAATAGTGATTCCGGGCGCGTCAATTGCTAAGGTCATGAGCTCCGTAAGTGCAATGCATGCCTTTATCGCGGTAGGTGATCTCTCTCCCACAGAATGATGAGATCCGGCACCGACCTACTTAGGTTTAAGGGTAGGCTTAAGGGGTTTCCCCAACCAGGTATATCCCCCGCCCAAGCTGGGACAAGATCTAGGCTAGGAATGTGTGGTAGGGTGGTGCATGGTAGTGTAAGTGATAAGAAATGGGGAAGATAGGACAAGAAATGAGACGGAAAGATAGCGCGCAGTCCCTGGCCCGTTTGTTAGGCTACTGGCTACAGGTTCCGTCATTCGCCTGGTACTGATCGGATAAACCGCGGAAAACTACCGATCTGAGCAGCCGGCCGCTAGAATTTTCCTCGAGGCAGAGTCTGCACTCGATCTAGTGTAGGTGCTACTGTCGGAAATCGTGCCATTGTCGGGAGTGGACTTCCCCGTCAGAAGCACATTTGCAATGGCATCATTTGATGCCCCCCTAGTACGTCTTCAACTTTCCCGCTTAATATCTTCTTCCTCTCTTTTCTCCTGCAGGTTGCCTCGGCATTTTTCTCCTTCCAATTCCCAAGTGGATGCAAGAGCAAGACTTTCACTAACAGATCCCTCTTCTTCCTTTTCTTTTCGAAATCACTTCCGCCCCTCAGGCAAAGCTCTAGAGTCATCCCCATTGTTCTAAGAAAATCTCAGAAAATCTTCAGGGATCCGTAATGACGCCCGACCACTAAGACACCTATACTCTTCGTGTCGGGTAATACGAAATCATTAGTAGTGGAAGTCAAAATTTGACGGTGACAGCTGAGAAAATTACATGCAAGTGTGACCACAGATGTTTACACTGGAAATTCCGGAGAAAAAAGAAACAAGAGCTGTCTAAGTGTATCTCCTTTTTTTGTATTTTGCATCAGTAGAGAGTGTCTTCTTGCTGACAGGAATATTGACATAACCCGACGCAAAATCTGTCATAATGAAGAAAGCAACACTGTTTTAACTTCTTCTAGTGTATTACATGAATGTAAACGTATTATCACAATGAAAACAATACTCCTAAACTCTTTCAACGAAACAATACAACCTGAGTTTCTCCCGAATGGAATATATAGAGTCTCACGAACACGCATTTTATTAATAAAGAATTAAAAGCTAACAAAGAACCAAAAGCAATATTCTTTATTGGTTATTGTAGCAGACATTTTCTTGGATTCTCTCTTTTTTGGATATCATATTAGTGGCGTTTACAGGTTTACTGAACGAAGCCAAATAGGCTATCAGTTGTCAAATGGAGGTACTTCCTTAAAAGGTGGATCATTCTTCTGACTCGTTGCAAACACGAAGAAAAATAATACATCCATTGATGCGCAAACATTTCAAAATGTACTATAAATTGTAATTTTATAATATATATTATTTAATATATATTTTTATATAATATATATTATTTTATTAATATAAATAAGAGCAAACTGACTGATACACAGTAACATTTAAATCGGTGACAAAAGGAAATGTCATTTCATCCAAATTATAAAGAGTTGAGTGAAGAGAAGAAATAGTAAATGGCTCTTTGATATGACTGGGTTGGATAAAAATCACGTACACCACTATTTCCCCTCTCTTTTCGCCAAAGAGCGAACATCGGAAAACAAGCATAAGAAATAGCAAACATGGTACGAGCAACGATTCCTACGACAAGGAAAGAACATGGTTTAAAGGATAGATTAGAATTATAAGTGGAACTCGATGAAACTATTAAAAACTGAAATAAGATTGAAGGGTTATAAGACACTGATATTTATTATAAGGTAATATAATTGATACATATTTTCTAT